ACTTTGAAAATGACTTCTCCTTAATTGATGGAGCATCATATTTTTGTTAAATTAGGTGTAATGCTTAAGATATCGCAAACAAATATCCAAAATATGCATAATATAACATGTGGTAAACGACGGTATTCGTAACTTTTATCTACAATTAGCAAATTAAAATTTTAGACCGTTAGACCTGTGTAAAAAGGTTATACGGGAGGCCAGGAAGAAAATTATCGACGGAAACCTCATCCGGAATGTTAAGAACTGTTAAGAACGTGATAAAGCGTGACCATTGTCACACTATATTTCATAAATACCTGCCATTTTAAGTTTAAAACAAAATAGAAATATGCTTTATTTTTTATAGAGTTTCAGCTTACCAAAAAATGGTGTATGGATGTTGAGTAGATAAGGTAACCCAAACTGTACAGGAACTCTTTTGAAAGTGTTTAATTATAAAATGAAATTTCATATTATTTTTAGAACGCCTGTGACGTCAAAGATTTTGCTGCTCTATGACTAAATGACATGTCCTGATAAATCAGTCAAAATTGATATCAATTAACAACATTCTTATATGAAATATTGAAGAACATATAAGTAAAGATTCTTTTATATAATGTGTGACATTTTTTATAATTCACAACACGCGAAAGTGTCCCTGTCGCAAGACTGCATACTCGTAATTTTGGACGAATTATAACAAAAGGTGACTATAGACTCATGTAATATGAATAGTAAATAAAATGAATTATCCCTCTTGTATCGATATAATTCAACCCTTTCAAGGGAAAAATGCCAATAGTAGGGCGAGAGAAGCTTTGATGTCGTTCTAGTGACTTCAAATCCATCTCACAAAACTTTTACCTAAGTCATATAGATGTTTTTCTTGAGAAAAAAAATGGATTGAAAGGATGCGAGTCGTGTGAAATAATTTTACGATTATTAAAACAAAATGTCTGGACAAACTCTGTCTAGACTGGACTAGGGATTAATAAAAGTAGAGAATCCATCATGCAGCACTAGCCTTTGAGAAAAAAAAGATACATTCCAATATAGTGTTGACAACCTCACGGACCTGAATAGTACATTGGTTTCTCTAATTGTATATAACGATTGCCTACTATATTGTCTTAAGTTGACGTGTTAACAGGGTAGGTAAGATACGTTTCCAGTTCACCCAAGACAACGGATACGACGTTTAAGGTAGAAAAAATCTTTAGAAAAATTTGCCATTCATTGCATTTTTCTTTACATAGGCATTTCAAAAGAAAGACCTCCCTGAACTTCCGTCAGTTATACCATGATTACACGAAGTTCATATTGGCATAACAGCAGTATAACCCAAGTGCATCAAGTTTTAGTAAAAGATGTGGTCACAAATCTGTCATTGTTAATGTAGTCTTGTGTGTTTGCCATTAGCTTTTTACAATGCTCCCTTATCCGTAAGTGAGGTCATAAATTTCACAGATTTAGCACAGCAATATGGATGCGCAAGTATGAAGAAATCCTTCAAACTAGATCTGCTTTCATTTTTGCCTGCGTTTCTTCTTTACTTTCAATACATTTCTGTATCCACATTTCTTCCGTTATATTCAAAAAGAAATTCTACAGTACATTAGTTTAAGATTATATTTATATAGAGTCAACCCTTATAAGTAGGTTACTCCTTGTATTGGATCTTACCCTGATTTGGTAACCGTCCAGTTGATGCTTGATGACGGCTACGTCGCAGAAGAAACAGGTGCGTTGTATTTATATAATTTGGCAATATAAAATCAAATGAATTTTCATGATATGAATGTTTCAATTATTCTTGTCCTTAGTGTTCATTTGATATGCTTGCTTCAATAGCAAACCTACCACAAACAAATATCCAATAAAGGATTTAAGGATTGCAGTTATGTTATTATAATTTACATCTTCAATACAAAGTCTTCAGCATTATCAGCTTTATAAAGTTTAAACTCATGTGTAATACCTTATAGTTTATGTTGAAAATCAAATTTAACTTTGTTTGAGAAATGTGCCTTTATTTACATATTGTCATTGTTCGACCTATATACATTAAAGAATTATGATTTCAATATGATCTGATTTCAGGTGTGACCCCTGTGACAGCTTATGGTTATGATTGGAATCCTGTCGGGGGGGGGGGGGTCGTGTTTGCGGTAACTCCGAACTCAATTACACTCTGGGCTCCGAGTAAAAAAAATGTTTGTTTTTATTTATGAAATAGGAAGAAATCTCTCTATTGTCTGTTAAATACTTCACTTTAAAGAATACTATATATATACATGTGTTAATGATTGCATGTAAAACATCTCAATAAAAAGTTAAAATGAGAGCATTTGGACATTTTAGATTTGTACTGTGTAAACGCAAAACCAATTTCATCCAAATTGAGCTTATGGTTTGCATTGTAAAAAAGCAACAAAAAAATAAATGTAGGTTGAATGGTCTCTATTCCTCTAGGGTCCCAAGAAAGGGATAAAGCCAAGAATTCAGACTAAATATTCATGCTATTTTTTTTACTCGTGGACATTAAGCAGTCAATCTGAGAGAGAAAAAAAAAGGTTTTCCTTTTCACTTGAATTAAAAAGGAGGAAATTAAATGCATATTAATGATTTAAAAGAATTCCTCATCTTAAATTATGAAATGGGCTTCATTATTATAAGCAAAAGTGCATCTTTGAAAATGCTCTCTGTAGCTGTGTAACTTAGCAGAAAGATAATTTAGATCAATGATTTGAATCAACATACTCTTGAAAAAATTATGCAACTCAAGATTCTAGGTCACGGGCTATTGTGTAAGGGTGCGGCTCCATTGGTTAGAAAGCGAAATCTGTAAACCGCTGAAGATCATCTATGCCTCATTAGGATAAGCCGAGAAGTTAAGTAGATAGAAAGACTATCAGTTAATGTGAAGTTCTAGAGGTTTCTCCGGGTGTCCTTAAGATGTTAACATTCCACGTTGACATAACGCATCCCATAAACACTTTTCAAATATCCCCAGAACTGAAAACTTAAAAGATTTCTTACCAAATATAAAAAGCACTTAATTAAGCAAAAGTTTACTTGATGGCATTGTCGACACATAATTTGAAAAACCCCGTGAGGATCCGGGTTAGATTAGGTCCTCAGTACCCCTTTGCTTGTCGTAAAAGGCGACTAAATGGGGCGGTCCTTCGGATAAGACCGTATAAACCGAGGCCCCGTGTCACAACAGGTGTGGCATGATAAAGATATCTCTCTGCTCAGAGGCCGTAAGTGCCGAGCATAGGCCTAAATTTGCAGCCCTTCACCGGCAATGGTTACGTCTCCATATTAGTAAAATATTCTGGAGAGGGACGTTAAACAGTATACAATCAATAATATGAAGAAAAACAACTCAAATATCCAGCACAGGTATAAATTTCTTCAACAGCTTCAGTAATAGACAATCAAGAATATCTTTGCATTATCCCTTTTTATTCCTTAAAAAAGTGCAGCAATCTGAAATAATAATGAGACCAAATACAATACATATTATAGAGATGCCAGAGCTACCTATAGCCCTAGAACTCTCACGTGGATCATACGCACAGGTTAACCTTCTTTTAAAAGAGCTTGTGTTAGCTTTGGACACTTTGAGTTCTGATATGATGGTATCGAATTTCTTGATACTTTTCGGCACTGGTGTTTCGGTTGATCGTGATTGCGCAGCTGAAGACATGGCACATGTGCACTCTGTTGCTGCTGAAGTTGAAGTTGCTGGGAAAGCAGAATGCACAAAGTTAATATAAATACACATTTATATAACACTGAAATGTATTCTTTCATTTAAAACAGTAAGAAAAGTCTTCAATTTGTTAAAATGACAGTTGTCCATTTAATTTTTCTAATCAAGTTAGAATATTACCATTTAGTTTAAACTTAATGAAAATATCTTTTTTCTTATCTTCATTGTGAAATTGCTTTTGAAAAGCATATATATTTGCTTTATTAGCAGTTAATTCACTGACCCAGGGGCCCTGAATTTCGCAATTCCGGAAGAAGAACCCTTTCACATCATAACTATATATGTATAGTAATTCATCTGCTTATTACCCCCCCCCCCCTAACACCAGGATCCCTGATCCTGGTGCCATGAAATTAACAATTTAGGTAGAGGTATTCTTGCTCATCATTACTATTACTTAGTCAGTTTATTTAATACCTAGGAGCACAGAAAAAGATTTTCAAAGAATTAATGAATTTTTTACTATATAATCAATAGAGCTCCAACCTAACACTACATGTAGAACCCCTGACCCGATGGACATGATATTCACAATTTTAAAAGAGGCAATCTTACTCATAATAAATATTTACTTAGTTACTTAAATCAATAGCCAGAAGAAAAGATGAAGATTTTCACTATATAACCAATAGCTAGAGCCCCGCCCAAACACCAGAACCCCTGACCCTGGGGCCCTAAAATCCTGAGTTCACTCAGGTGAGCTAAAAAGATACAGCAAAAGATTTTTTCACTTAAGACTCAACTCAAATAAACCTTGGATTCTGAAAAGAAAACTTTCAAGATTTTTAGAGAAAATATTTCGCAATTTAATGAATATCCACAGAGAACTTGTATGTCAGATTAGTTGTATATTGTTTAACTCCAGAATCCGAGATCTTTAATGATCCAAAACATAGGGCCTTTGTTTTGAGGTCTCATTCAGAGTATATATAATATAACCATTTTTATTGTTAAATTCTCAAGTTTTTTTACCACAGGAATAGCAACCAATTTAAAAATCTTTATTTGACATTGTCTATTAATCATATTGATTTCTTTATGCATTTATGATTCCATATCATCAAAAGCAAGGGGTGCATTCAGAATCAGTCCTACATTAATATATATATATATATATATATATATATATATATATATATATATATATATATATATATAGATATATATATATATATATATATATATATATATATATATATATATATATATATATATGGTGTTTCAAAAAATTGCGTGACTACACACCCAAACAGGATAAACTGGTTTTGGACCATGATGTTCCATTGCACAAACTCTCAACTGAATCTCCATTACTGGTGTATCCAGGTATACAAGCATATAAAGTCTTATTTCCAGCCATTAGTCCATTATTCATTTTGATTGTATTCGGAATATCTTGAGGCATTGGGCATTCTGAAAGAATAAGAAGATTTTGTTTGAAATATATATTTCTTCAAACTTGTAAAATTCTTATTTAGCCATTTAAGTTATTGAAAATTGTTTATTACTGTTGTTTGCCCTTGATATGCTTATGAATGTAAATTTTTCAATAAATTAAATTTTTTGTCATGAAAGGTATATGGCAATCATTAATAATGACATTTAATTGAAAATATAATTTATTTTCAAATAAAACTGCTGACCTGTAAACCCAGCCTTTATAACTCTGACTGTTATCTGAACTTTGTTGATCTGCATAGTCTCTGTTCCATTTCCCCACAAGCCACCAATGTAGATAAGATTCCCCCCAGTCACACTAGTGCTGGGTGTCCATAAAAGAACATCTGATTGTGTGTAACCAAAAATGACACCCCCATAAGGCTCTCCTGAGTATCCTATATTGGCAGATCCAGCTCCGTAAAATAATTTCCCTTTCCTGACTGTCTTGTCTCTGACCTGTATATTGTCCATTAATGTTTTTATTAGGTATCTAATCAATTATATCAGACAATTCTGTTAGATTCTGTGTGCTAGTGTTTATAAAATCATTTATAGAGGTTGAAGCGACTAATTAATATTCCATTGTTTCAATTTAATGTATTGGGTGTTTTTCTTAAGACAGATACAAAAATACTTTGTCAAAGAAATTTAAAAAAAAGAAAACGATTAGAGTCACGTTAGTTTTTCATATTTTTTTCAAAGTTTCACAATAATTGGATTTGTAGAGGAATTTTCTTTGTACAGAAAAATAAGGATGTGTGCAGTAAGGTAGAACGTTGAGTATCAGATAAGGTTTACAATTTTTTTTATATTTTAGAAAAATATCATTTGCATCATTTGCAATATTTTCTATCATCTTTCCTTAATCATGTGTAAAATCAGCCCAAAGAAGCAGCAATATAATCTTTTACCTCAACATTGACTATGTAAAAGTCAAGGTCCATTGCGTTTGTCATAGATATCACTCCTGCTCCAGGCATATCGTCACCTTTGACATACGCAAAGTTATTTGTGTTTACAATATCTGGTGACGAGAGTATCCAAGCTCTGATTGTGACGTCAGCAGTGTCTGCAACAATTTCAGGAAAGTTCCCCCACCCGTCTCTGTAGCATGATACATAGTCAACTAAAAAGAAAATACAGTCAAGTGTTTTTTTTTGCTTCTGCTTTTTATAAGTATAATGGTATCTAATATTTTATGATTACTTACATGTATTTGTGACACCAGCATTTAAATCAAAGTATAAACTGTTGAGATTTTTTTCGTATGTTTTTCTGCCATTTTTGACTGACAACATGGATAGTTTCGTAGTTAATCAGTCTATGAAGAGGGCACGGAACGAACTATTTTAATCAAGATTATGTTAAATCATAATAATTGTTAGAATACAAAAATTTCATCTCAACCCTATTCTTAAATAGCCCTTACGCTTTATTATAATACCAGTAACTCCATGTTCTATTTCAGTTCATTACATGAATTTTATGAATTTAAAAATATTTTATTCTTCTACCACTATAACGTACGGTTTTTGCTTGCTGCCCACAAAGTAATTGCTGTATCGTCTATTCCAAATACCGTCCCGCATACACTTGTAACATCAGCATAATCGACAGTGATTGGTGTCGTACATGTAATTAAAAATGTTAATAATGATAAGGAATCAAATTGCTTCACGTCTTAACATAAATAACCGAAATATCAATCTAGTGAAGATGAGAATTTTGAATTGCATTTGAACTCAAAAAGTAACAAATCATAAAAGTCATTATTTAAGGAATAAATTCAATACATGTAGCTACTCATAATTTACTAGTATAACTTGGGTTCGGACAGTTTACGCTTCATTAACCGCTTCGGGACTATCTTGTAATTGTATGAAAGGCGGGGTTATCATATTGTGCACTCAGTTATCATAGTACTTATAGTATATTCCCTTTCATGTTTTTCCTTTGTCTCCGCTAATGTAGCGTGATCGAGTACTGCTTGTTATAATTGAACAGTTAAAACGTTAAAACTAAGTGATTATGATAAAGATACTTGAGTTTCTGAATGAAAATATTTGTGGTTGTGGAGACCAGGTCTTCCAACAATCTATTACGATTCCCATGGGTACCCTGTACCAATTGCACTCCGTTTATAGAAGACCTGTTTCATATAGAACATCTGTTTCATATTGGATATTTTACTTGAAAAAGACGTTAATGGTCATTTAATATCTACGCTCTATGATACATGTGATGATTTTAACTTTTCTATCGTCAACTTCACTTACTTATACAGCCAAATACCTTCATCGCCTGCATATCGAGTTTATATATCTCATTTGATTTGATACGAATCTGCTTTACGCATGAACAATTTCTAAAAAGAGGTAAATTATCAAGTTGATGAAACAAAAATTTCAGCAGTCTCGTCATCAATTCGTAAGTTCTATGGTCGATACAATGACCTCGTCAGCAAATACAATTTATAATTGAGACAAATGTTGACTGACGTTTTTCATACTAATTAATATTGTAGTCCACTTGTTACACTGGATTGATGACGGATTTTTCCATCATTTCACAATCATGACAAGGAACACACGGCGACGAGTGTGATCAGATGAGGCTCATTCCTCCATGATCCACCCCCGATATTTGGACGTCCGTGTTTGCTCTGCTCCTATTTTGTATTGTTTTCTGGACTTTTGATCTTGAATACTGTTCGTTATCTCCATATGTTTTATTTAAAACATTAAAACATTGATTTGAACATCATTCTTTTCGGGGATTATTTACTCTCTTTATCTATCTTATAACAGAAAATTGATATTTTTTTTGCAACACATAGTAAACGAAAGAATAGATTTTTCGCCCTAAATATCACATCAATTGATATTGTTTAAAAATGTTTTAAATAAATCAATTATGAAACCTACTTAGACCCTCTGAAACCAGTCCCCCTGGCATTAAGAGCTGGACTGTTACGAAGTCTGGATACGCCCCCAAGCAATGCTGTATATTTTTGTATGGGCGTGCTAAAAAAATATACGTTATGATTCAATACTCGTAAAGACATTTAACAAAGACGTATAAGTTCTGTTATCTAAAAAGAAAATGAGATAATGTTTGGCACACATTAATGATTTTCCGCGTTTTGGATGTATTTTGTATTCGGCAGATGTGCTTTTCTGTAAAGTCAATCTCATAGAAGAGCTGAACTTTTCAAACAAATGTATTTCTTGCCAAATTTGTCTTAGACTTAATTTAATCTTTAAGAATGAAATGACCAGTTTTAAACATTATATTAAAATGTGTGATATTCTTTATATAACTTAGCTTTTGAACCTATTGATGTTTATCATTAATCTTAATTATGTTATGTCCGAAAGAAAAAACGCACGATTTTTTTCTTTCTAGAGGTGTGTAAGGTGCAGGGAGTGTGATATGTCTAATTAAAAAATAATAAAACCAAAGAAATCCAAATTTTAGCCTTTCTTTTAAGTTTTAATCATCATGCTCACACATTGTCTTCCTACCTACCTACCTTTAGAAATCGTCAGTCCAGCAGTAATACTAAAATCAGGTTTTGGCCAGTCGGACAGCCTCCAAGCCCTTATGCGAACCTTACAGGTGCTAGCGGATCCAACAAAGGGGCCATTGTATGAGGTATTACCTACAATATTTCATATATCTTATATACTTTAAAATTTTATGAAGCTTAAAAACAACATCTTTTTATCACAAAAATAATTCAATTATATGATAAAATTCATTTACAATAGAAATACATGTACAGTAAAACGCTCTTTTACCGAAGACGCTTTTGTTGAATTCAAGCTTAATGCAAAGTAATTAACAATTCTTGTATTTATTAGAACCTATTGACCAGTCACGGTAGCCTAGTGGTCAAAGACGTAGACATATGTATTGACTGTTTCTTCGCCACACGCTCGACACTAGAAGTGAAAGTCATGGGGTTTCTCGGAAATAACTTTACAAATCTGGCCCCGTGTCACGGTAGTCGTTGGCATGATAAAGAACCCCTTCTGTTCAATGGCGCTAAATGCCGAGTATAGGTTTAGATTTGAAACCATTAATCGGCTTACGGTGACGTCTCTATATGAGTGAACGATTTTGAATGGGACATTAAACAAAACACAGATATAACTAATTACATTCATAATGACTCAGAATTATACGTCCCTTGCACTTCGCTTAAAGCATGTAACTGAGACGTGATATCTTTTCTTGGATGCTTATTTTCGAGATTTGCTTATTTTCGAGATTTGATTGATTGATTGTTAGTATACTGTTTAAGTCCCTTTCCAGAATATTTCACTGATATTGAGACCTCACCATTGGCGGTGAAGGGCTGCAAATTCAGGCCTATGCTCGGCACGTAAGGCCTATGAACAGGGAGGGATCTTCATCGTGCTGTGACACGGGGCCCCTGTTTATACGGTCTCATCCAAAGGACCGCAACAATTTAGTCGCCCTTTACGACAAGCCAGGGGTACTGAGGACCTAATTTAACCCGGATTCCCACCCCACGAGGCTCGAGATTTGAAGAAAGGGTATTAAATTAAGGGATTTAATTTTATGTTTGGTGAATAAAATATGTGACGGCGAGCACAGTGTTGGTGTCAAAAAGTAAAAAAATACTATTGCATCGGTATTTGCACTATTTCAATAATTTTAAAACAATTCACTATATGAAAACTATATATCAGTCGGTGGGTAATTGTAACATTAATCATTTTTGGTAAATTTTTCGTTTATCCATATCAGGTTAATCAGGAATAGGAGTTGGTTTTGGGAGAAAAAAACATATTTTGACGCTTTAAACTACATTTTATACGTTGAACGTAATAAGGTCATAACGCCATTTGGTAAATTATAAAATAATTTCATGGGCAAAATCAATTTTGAAATTGCATCTCAATGGTCCTTTTTGAGTGTGAGGAACTATATTTTAAATTAGACTGATATTTTGTATCGATATGTATGTTGGGTTTCTGATATTAAGCCAATGATTTAGAAGAATATTGTACAAGATCGTGTGTCACAAAGTTTGGAGGTCCAATGTCACAAAGTTTTTAATATTCGTACAATGGTAAATTTTGTAATAAAATTCTACAAAATATTGCTATGATATTAAGGAAAAGATCTCTAGACTACGTGTAGTACGGGTTCGATTCAGTGCCGCGTCAAACATAAAACGTAAAAAATAGGTAGTGACCGTTCCTTTGACAAGCGCTCGGCACCAGAAATGAAAGTCACGGGTCTTTCGGATATGCCCTTAAAAAAAGGTAGAACCCTTACTGCTCAAGTTGAATAACTCACTCTGCGAGTCTAGAAAATGGTTTTAGAAGGAAATTAGAAGCGTTGCCACTATCAAGAACCCTCATTGCTAAATGACCCTGAGTGCCGTGTGTAGGTCTAAATTTGAAGCCCTTCACCAGCATACCGTGACGTCTCTATATGAGTGAAAAATTCTCTAGAGGGACGTTAAACAAGATACAATCATTCAATCTAAGTGAAGGAAGGTCATTTCTCGGAAACAAATGTAATGACATTAATGCACAATTATAAATATAAAGATTTAACCGAACAACACGTTTAACAATCGCTTATTTTTTAATACAATGTGCAACTTATACATGTAAGCGGCGTGGACAGTATAGGGATCAAAACTCGAGAAAATAGTATCTGGAAATTGTCGGAACCTTTCGCCTCATTGAATACGTTATCACATTTTCAAAATATTGTACTTAGTGCATGTAGTTTAATCATCCCTCTTCAAAAGAAAAAGGGGGGATGAAAAAAACATCGAAAAGCTGATTAAAAAACGATAAGCAAATTAAAAAAAACAATAAAATAATTTTTTACGGGAAAACTGAAAACAATTTAAAAACAAAGGACATATAAACTGAAACTTCAAGAGTGCACTTCATCAAAAATTCTTTTTATTGAGAACTAAAGTGAAGACAAAGGGAGATAAGAAGAATTGAACTTGTATCTTAACTATATATAATTCAATTTTAATTGAAACACGTCGTTTGATTGGTTAAACGGTTTTATCCATTTTGTATAACATAACTTGCCTACGACACAATGAGTTACGTCAAAAACGTATTACTCCGCTTACCGTTAACTTTTAAAATATGCAATATTTGAAGCCTTTTTCCGAAAGAAAAGAATGGACAAATTGTCTCATTGTCTATTTTGAAGTTAAATTTTAAGGAATGAAGTTTATTTAATCTTATGTTATACGAATTAACATAACCTGGGGCATTTTACGCTTTTTTTTATAAACAGCTTCGCGGTTTATGAAGCATAAACTGCCCCAAGTTATGTTATATCGTATAACAAAAGTTAACATAAGCTTCATTCCTTAAATAAATGTATTCACCTGTAGTTAAAACACGCCCAATGCCTCCACCATTGAATGATTTAATGACAGGAACAAATAACAGTACATGGGAGGAGTTGTATGCATACGCCACACCACCATACTCAGTCGGTATGTCGTCATCTTTTGGAACCGATCCAAGTCCTGGAAATATGTACTCCTTACCGCTTTGGATTATTTTGACTTGGACGTCTACTTTAGCTGGTAATTCATTAAGAGTATGAGAAACAGGAAGTGGACTTGAATCATTGACTGATAGTGTATGCCAACTACTGATGTATGGCTTTCTGATGTTGTTCATCTTACAGAAACCTTTTGGAATAAAAAAAAAACATCTATTTTATATTTCAAAGGTGAATTATTTAATGATTTATATCTAAATTTCATTTTTTTTATATTTATATACAAATTAAGTAAATGCTAAATGGTAGAAATCAACCTATGTGATTTTTTCTGATTTTTAATCGTTTTGTTTTTCCCCATAAAATTCAGCTGTGTTGCACAGGTACTTGTGGACAGGAACCCCCCCCCCCCCCCCCCTTATATTCAACTCCGGGGCTAATTGGTCATTTTTTTCAAAAATTATATTTATTACACTTATTTATCATGTGTACAATATGAAAAAAAACGTCAAAACCCCCCAACAATCGCTCCACAAAAAAAACCCACACTATACATAATGTATAGTGGGGTATTTTTTTTGTAGAGCGATTGTTTCGGGGTTTTGACGACTTTTTAATATTGCACACATGTTGAATAAGTGTAATAAGTGTAATAAATATAATTTTTGAAAAAAATGTCCAATACACCCCGGGTCCTGTCCACAGGTACCTGTGCTGTGTTGGTATCCTTTTTGAAAAGTTTATATTACACCTTTAGCACCAAGCTAACGTATTCTGAAATTTATTTTCATCTGTAATCCTTAACTTAGTTTGATTTTTCAATGTGTGTTATTTTACTGAAGAATTAACTAATATTTTCCACGTCTTTTTTCATTTCGCAAGTCTTAGGAGAAAAAAATCTATGAATTATCCACTTTTCTAAACTTAACTAGCATCTTTACGTTAATGAGTTTCAAAATGACATTACTAATTTGAATCTTGCATTTAATGAGCCAGATTCGTATTCCAACATAATTTTCTTGTTGACATTAATTATTTTGAATTTTGAGGCAGACGTATGCTACTATAGGTCATATTTTTGCATGATTTTTTTTTTAAAAAGGACAATGTGATGTTAACAACCTGATAAATAAATAAATGTATGGTGAAGAATGATAAATTGTAAAATAATCCTACATTTATAGAAATAGACGTCTGATTATTTGCTTTCTGTCTAATATTTCAGTAGGTAAATCCTTTCAAGGTGAATTTATATAAATTGTGAGATTCATAATTCATGTACCTGACAAGCTGCATAATTGCACTCTAAAATTTCTATGAGAGATCAGAGTTAGATGAGTACTGAAAAGTATGAGATTTTTTATATAGATAAATTTAACATAGCTACAATCGCTTCACACTTTTTTGTTTAAATATTGAACCTCAAGCTATTTTGCTTCACGATCATTATTTCATTAAACCTAAGTATTGATAGAAAAATGAAAGTTGAGAGAAAAACACGTGTTTGTTTTTGTTTCTTTAAAGCTTTATCGGTTAAGGAGAATGATGAGTTGTTAGTTTTGTTTACGGTGGATAGGTTGAATCCATGTCACACACACAGATTCGCTCGGGGTCCGCTTTGCGTTCCATTAAACGCTGTACAGGTAAGGCAACACATGAAAAAATATGGTAATGAAGTCATAATGATGTCTGACGTCATGACATTGCTCCGCCCTGATTGATCCATATAAGGAAATGGTGCTCAAAATAACTATTTACCGATATTTGCAAGACTTTGTAATAAACAGCAATATCTTCGTGTTTAAATTGAAAATAATTAGTGATTTTCTCATATTAAAAAACAGCATGTCTTTAAAATAATTCTCTTTTTAATGTGTCGTTTGGATGCATTCGGCTTCAGCCAAGCGCTTGCACTCGGTGACACGGAATGTTGTTTACATCTAAAACCGTGGCGACATCAGCTGAGATTTGCAGTGGATTTAAATGCAATAACCACACAATCCTTAAAGAAAATAGGGATAAAGTAAGAGAATGATGTTTTTGACATACAAATATGCTAGGCCTACACAATTTTAAAAAGATTATCAGTATCTTTTTGTTGAAAACAGAGAACCCCTCTTCAGATCTATGGTTGTAATTTTATAGAATTTCTAAATTAATGAAAAAAAAATTGAATTTTTTTTGTTTACATGTACATTAAAAATATTTATTTAATACTTTTATCATTGTAGCTGTCAAGAGTTTCAGGCTTTAAGAATGAATAAATAAAAAAAATGCATCATTTCTCCACAGGGTATGTATATTTCTAAGGCATAACCATTTCACATTTTTAAACCGTGCATGTGCTATACAGTTTATTTGTTTTTTTTTTCATTTTGGTATAGGAGAAACTCATATAACATAAATTCACTACAGTATACAATGTAGCATAATTTGTTTTGTCAAATGTAATGCCATTTTATTATACAATGTATATTTAGTAATCTCATAGCATATAACTGCATATATATTGTGTTGTAGGCATAGATATTCCCAAATGCTGGACTAATGGATTCATTCAGGCAGCAAGTTAATCCATCATATAAGGGAAATGGTATGCTCAATATTAGCTATAAAGCATACAAAGTTTTGATAATTTAAATAAAACTAACAAAGAATCGAAAACATGTATACATTCTATGTTAACTGTTTCAATGCATTTTTTATTTAATTTGTTTAAAACACAAATTTCTTTCAATAATGGTATTTCCTTATTTTCTCATATTTTCAGAATGAATTTTATCCACAAGAACATGAAGTGAAAGAAATAATGTGCACCAGCCCAGCATTCCTAGTCTGTCGTTGGATTTGAAAAGAAATGTTTATTAAATAAATTTTCTAGATAAATAATAATTTGACTTTTTCATTATATAATATTTACTGTACAGGCGTTGAAAAGACTATTATTAAGAATTGAAAATCTTAACTTGCATTCTATTTTGTGTGGAGGGTACTTATTTCCAGCATGTGCATTGTGTTCATTTATTTTTCAATAATATTACCAACAAGAGGCCCATCGCTCACCTGAGCACTAAGGGTAGGAAAAAGTAGAAAATGGCTTTGTATTGTAAAGTTTAAATCCAAAAGTAGTCCCATGACCAATCATTTTTAGAAAATGATTTCTAAAGAATTTTCCTATATATTTCTATGTAAAACTTTGGTCGGCCATTTTGGCCCCGCCCTACCCCCGGGGGGTAATGATTTGAACAAACTTGAATCTACACTACCTGAGCATGCTTCCATATAAATATGATGAATTATGGCTTTGTCATTCTTGAGTAGAAGATTTTTAAAGAATTTTCCTATATATTTCTATGTAAAAATTTGGTCGGCCATTTTGGCCCCGCCCTCCCCAGGGGGGGGGGGGGGGGTCATGATATGAACAAACTTGAATCTACACTACCTGAGCATGCTTCCATATAAATATGATGAATTATGGCTTTGTCATTCTTGAAAAAAAAAATTTTTAAAGAACTTTCCAATACATTTCTATGTCAAACTTTGGTCGGCCATTTTGGCCCCGCCCTACCCCCGGGGGTCATGATTTGAACAAACTTGAATCTACACTACCTGAACATGCTTCCATAAATATATGATGAATTATGCCTTTGTCTTTCTTGAGAAGAAGATTTTTAAAGAATTTTCCTATATATTTCTATGTAAAACTACGGTCGGCCATTTTGGCCCCGCCCTACCCCCGAGGGTCATGATTTGAACAAACTTAAATCTACACTACCTGAGGATATTTCCCCATAAGTTTCATCTTTCCTGGCACAGTGGTTCTTGAGAAGAAGATTTTTAAAATATGCCACCAAATTTTCATTAATTCCCAATTATCTCCCCTTGAATGAGGGCGTGGCCCTTCATTGGAACAAACTTGAATCCCCTTCACCCAAGGATACTTTGTGGCAAGTTTGGTTGAAATTGGCCCAGGGGTTCTTGAGAAGAAGTCAAAAATGTGAAAAGTTTACAGACAGACGGAAAGACAGACGGACAGACAGATGGACGCCGGACAAAATGTGATCAGAAAAGCTCACTTGAGCTTTCAGCTCAGGTGAGCTAAAAACAGGAGACAAGAGATCCCCCTAATTGATTCAAAATAGGATAGGGGACCACCTTTTGATTCTGAGGGAAGGGGGAGGGGGTTCTGGCGAGTTTTCCGAGTCAGATTTTTTCATTTCCATGTCAATGAAGGACTGTGGCAGATTAATATTTATTTCCGATCAATAAGATGAAGGACAGATTATTTATGTATTTTCCTCCCCATTGAAAAGTCTAATAATCAATAAAAAAAAAAATGTAAAAAAAACAAACAAACAAACAAAAAAAAAAAGAAAACAAACTCTGATTCGTGGGAGGGGGAGATCACTGATCTGCAGGTATTTATTTCTAAAATCTGCCAGCCCCTCTGACACCCTCAAAATAAAATGGCTGTCCCCTTAACAAATACAGGAGTATACCCCAATCCTTTCTTATTAGTTCTTAAAACTTGTAATTTAGTTTAAATCCCTTAATTAACAGTAAGCGGTCTGATTGAAAGCGATCGTAGAACATGATCTCGTATGCAGAAAGAAAAAAATTACAAGTGTCTTTACCATAGGCGTTAGAAGCAAAATGAAAGGAGGGGCTAAACAAAAGGTAATGGTATATATATCTAATTAATTATTAATGGATGCTATATCTTAATTAACCATTAGTGTTCTACATAAATACATGTATATCGGCAATATTCTACCTATGTGTGTGTACTACATGTATATACACATCTTTGAGGAAATGCGAGAGGTTTGAAATACATTAAATCTATACAATGTATGGAGAACGAATACACAGGATAGAAAAAAAAATGTCAGGGATTTTTATGCACACCGTTTTGATTTAGTAAGAAAAAAAGAATCCCGTCCTGTCCGCATGTATATAATTTATTTAAAATTAACGAGGTAAACTATTTCAAGAACTCAAGAGTTATCTCCCATGCTGGGTCAATGATGCGTTTGAAAACTATAAATAGATTGACTCTTCCAAGATTTCAATTTTTAATCAAAAAGTGCTAGGACAAGGCGACAATCTCTAAAGTATGTTTTTATTTTAAATTATTTATTTTATTGTATAGTTTTCAAAAAGTGATGCTCATTTCTTT